CTGTTAAAGTGACTGTCATCCTGTCATTCTGTGTATTTGTCTTCTTATTTGTATACTTGTCTACTTATCCACCTGCCTACCTGTCCACCAGTCTACCAGTCATCTATATATTAATATTTATACAAGCATATGAATCAATGATAAGCAATAATTAGTTCAGACCACTAAATATAAGTTTTTTCCACATTTTTTTGCAATCCCAAACCGTTACACATGTCTTCGCAAAAAATGTAATCAATTTTTTACTCCGTCAATACAAGTAAAATATTGTTTGAATAAATTGAATCGCCGTTCCATTTTTTTGCACGTATTTCCAAAACCTCTAGACCTGTCTTTGCCATAATAGCACGTCTATATCACGCCCTAATCAGCACACGTTTCCCCATCAATAAAAATCTAATGTTTTTTAATCAAATGTTTTCTCTCAAATCGGTTGATCCGTGCTCTCGAAAAAGTGAACTAAGGTAGAGCAGAATATTCAGAAGACATTGAAACGTGAAAGAATATTAAGATTTTTATATTCGATATTTTGCGATTACTATAACTTACCCAACAAGAAAATAAAAATGCTTATTCGAGTATTTTGAATGATGAACAGACAGTTCAAGTAAAATGTTTCAAACTATATAATATATAAATATTAGTTGATTTATTATATTTTTAAAGTGCAAAAACAGAGGAATTATACACGAAACTGTTTATAAATATATTGTGAAATTCAAACATTTATTTCGGTTTATGTAATTCAGACCATATGGAGTACTGGAAAACTCTCTCTAACGTACTTTAATATTTCTTTCTCACACATGTGTCGTCGTAAATTATCCTGTCTGTTTAAGGAGTCCCACAATAAATTGCAGCGTCACATGTAAGTACATGTTAACATTTCATTTTCAAAACTTATTTCATACGTCCTGGCCTCTCGTATTCTAAACGGCCTCATTTGCCCCCTTGCGAGATTTTGCTAACGCTCGCGGAACCGACTTCGGTCAGATTATTCATGAGTGTGAAATCCGGACATAAAACAGTAACGAAGAAATTTTCGTGTGTTAGAACTAATAAAATATATGTTTTTCCTTAGTTGAGAAACTATTTCTAGTTTACGACACATTTTGAATAATGAATTTCACGAGAGATGGGGATTATAATTTGCCAACTATATCACTTTGGAAAGTTTTGCTGCCTCGAAAAGGAAAACTCATGAAATATTTCTACTTTAATATATAGCAAACATGGATTAAAATATAACAAGCTGAATAAAAGATGTATGCAGACTCGAGTATGTATGATAATATATGTGTGTTTAATATTATTTATTTGTTCATTCATTTATACCAATGATATAGTAGTAAAATCACTACAGAGGCCTGTGTATAAACTTTGTATCTAATATTTTTAATTAGATATTATATATTAATTTTCAAAACTAATGTTATAAAAAATATCATATGAACTCCTAACTATATAAAAATTTACTACTTTAATTAGGTTCTCATACAAACATACGTAGAGTTAACATATTTTAACATTTATTGCGATTTTCCCAATTAAATCATCAAATAAAAGAATACTAAGAAATTGAACTTGATTTAGAGGTATTTGAGAGAGTATAACCTACACATTCAATTTATGCTGTGAAAAACAAGATTCTTTTAATGTTATTAAGTAATTCGTAATTTTTCTTAATTTCCAAACATTTTTTATCATGCATTGTAATTTTAGTAAATATTTATTTCAAGCTACTACGTATATCTCATATATACTCAAATATTTATTTCTTTTTCTACGTAAATCTCAAATATATACATCTATACTGTAAAGAGAAAGTTTTTCTTAATTTTATTAGTAACTTATAAAATACTCTAATAAATTTAAAAATAATTTATTGAAAGGCTTAGTAACTAGCACCAAGTATTGCAGAAACAAAATAATAGTATAGGAACTTTTGCAAATTAATATCTGATAATATAGCAATTAGTATCCAGTGCAAATAGTTTATAAATAATGAGCTCATAAAATATGTATTTCAAACAAAAATCGTATCATAGCATTTGTAATCATTGTATTTATGATTATAATTATTTAAACAAAAATGACTAGCAGAACAAGATTTATGAAGTATTAAGAGATGATAAAATTGTTTGTTTATTATGTTCGGAAAATACATATTTAGATTTATTGTGTTATTTTACCCGACAAACTGCACCGCTTTTATTGAATAGTTTAAATATTATTCTATAAAACCTTTCTAAAGTTAAAAATGAAATTGTGGATATTTTTGCCTCATGGCTGTCCCTTTCCACCCTAAAGTGTAAAAAAGACTACCAAGTTTTTTAAAACTGCAAAAAACAATTCGTCATTGATAAATTAGCTGTGAGTGTTACTGAACATGGTCACATTGTTGTTTGTTTGATATGTGTTATTTGTTGTAATATAATTGGTATGATTTCCACAAAATTCTTGCTCAGAGTCAAATTGGACCTTTTTACCCACTCCTATCCTATATATATATATATATATATATATATATATATATTTATATATATATATATATATGTGTGTGTGTGTGTGTGTTCGTATGGGCATATAAATATATCTAAAAGTAGCGATCTTATTTTAATGGCTTCCAGTCCTTTGTCGATATTCAAAGAAGCAAATGACATATTTGATAAGGGTTTCATTGAAAACCGTCTAACAATACCTCAATTTCTCATCGCCGAAATGCATTTCGATTCGTATAGATCACGATTCGTCGCTTATATATGTATCACCATCATATTCGTTTCATGTTTTTGTTTCGGGCGCGTAAGGCGCGTTGCGACGTGACACGAAAACATAGGATGAGATCCGGTGAATTTCTCGGACGAGAGCGTATCACTCGCTGCGGGAAAATAAGCGATATGTGAAAACCAACGGCCGGATTCTACGTCGACGCATTTTCACTTTTCAGCGCGTCGCGCTATGCAAAGAGCGAATCTAGACTTCCCAAAAATATAATGAAACTAGGGGTA